TTGATTTAAGGGATATAATTAGAATTTTATTTATTAAGATGTGTTTTATTTATATTTTTTAAATTTCCCAATTTAGTTGGTTTGGTAATCTAATGTGATGAAAAATTATGAGCACACTGGGTAGTAGATATAAGCTTGAGACTCTAGTTAGTCTTTAATCCATTAAAAAGGCATGTACAAGGGTAAGTGCGATGTGCAAAACAAATCCGATTGATCCAATATTATAGTTTTGCCTTTCATACTGTTCCTCTTCTTATATATCTAAGAAACCTGTGCAGTTTTGTTCTTGTTCTTATACTGAATTCTTCAGACTTGAGTGTTTTTCCGGACCTAGGACTGCAAAAGAATTGAGTTAGATTGACGAGTCGAACTAAGTATAAAAATACTTCACTTATTGGCTCAACGGGTTTCAATTTATATGTTTTGATATTTTTTCTGAGTGGTACAGAATTTATAATGTGTATTCATAATATCTTTATTATTTATGAAATGAAGTGTTCTCTTTATCTATTGTAAAAGAAATATAATACTAATTGCCTTTTTATTTGAGTTCGACTAGGTTCGAAGTCGAGTTCGAACCTCGAGATTTATATTGAGAACTTACTGTAATTTGAGTTTGGTAAAATTGACTGAAATTTAAGTCAATTAGAACAAAACTCGACTCGACGTGAATCATTTTCAGCCGTAAAATGACCTATACTTTCTAGTTCCTTGGTTTATCAATTATTCAAAATTTTAGTGTTATTTTTGTCTTCGCTGCGCAATCTTTTGTTAGTGTGCTATTAGATAACCTAGTACTGCTAGCATTTTTTTTGTTGATAAAAATGAAAAGTTAAATAAGTTGTGTGCGTGTGTTCGAAAGGATCACGATAGCTTCTTTTTTTTTTATTGATTCCAGTCATGAAATACTATTCACAGACGGTATCTTATTTCTTCACAAAAAAAATATTGCTCCAACTTATTATCCATCCTCACATACATACATACTTCTGCTGTTGACCCAGAATTCGTTTACCAAAAAAAAAAAATGGAAATAATAGTAAAAATAAAGCCCTGGCATCTTCAGAGAGTTGTTGTACAAGTATGTGCTATCACAATTGCAGTCCGACATCATTCATTGTTGATGTAAATTGGGAAGGTGGTAGCTGAACGGTTTGTGGCCTTAAATTCTTATCTTTGGCTCCATACTCCCACGATGATCAGATTGCTGACAACTCCAACAGTGCCCAACTTCTTTAAGACTTTTCTATCAAAACAGAAAGGCAATGTTTTTAAATTCGGACTGGCCAGTGAATCGGAAGAGGGATCGGTTCACAGTTTTTTTTTTTTTTTTTGTTTGGCCGATTCGCTTGACTGATTCAACGATTTTCTTTATTTTTTTTAACAGCTGCTTGGGTAAATCCCTGAAAATTGTACATTAAACTTGGAATATCATACATGAACCTCAATCGATAAATAGAATTTAAACATTGAGATATAGAGAAAAATGCAATTTTGGTATCTGAACTTTGATGCACAAGCAGTTTTAGTCCCCAAATTTTGGACTAAAACAAATTTGGTATCCGAACTTTCAAATTTTGAGCACATTAAGTACTCTTGACGATTTTTTCTCAAATTGTTATCGGAAACAGCCATGTGACTGTCACGTGTCCGACCAAAATAGAACAAAAAAAGGTTAAAATGCAGTTTTGGTACCTAAATTTTGACGCACGAGCGGTTTTAGTCCCTAAATTTTGGACGAAAACAAATTTGGTATCCGAACTTTCAAATTTTGAACACATTAAGTATCCTTAACGATTTTTTCCCAAATTGTTACCGAAAAAAACTATATGACAGTCACGTGTCCGGCCACAATTGTATAAAAAAGGCCCAAAAAATGTCAAATGTCATTCTAATACTAAGTATTAAATTTAAGGACTAATAGCATAATAAAGAAAAATTTAAGAACTAAATAACATCATATGAGTCAATAAAGCTCAGGAACCGATACAAATGAGCTCCAATTCTAGACAAATTTTGTGACTTGATTATTAGATTAATGTACTGGAATTGGAGCTCATTTGTGGAGAACGACCGTTGTGTCTTAGTGTTTGTTTTAAAAAAAAAAAAATCTGATTTTTACTTAAGTTAAGTGGTTCATGTTAAAAAAAATTAAAAATCCCCAATTTACTGCTCCAACGATTTTTAGCAGTTGATACAGTTTTACTAACTTATGGTAATTTTTCATTAATCTCCGACTTTTGCCCTAGATGGGACCAGCAAGACGACTGATTGACAATTCAACCGATTGGACCGGATTCATTCTGGTTCTAAAAACATTGCAAAAAGGAAAATAAGAAATTCTTTAAGACACCTGTCGGCCTGTCTCCCTCTCCGCTTTTGGTGTTGTTTCAAAGTCAAAGGACCACTCCTACCCACCTGTTTTATTTAAGCTATATGAGGCCTACATTTCTTGTTTTTGGCTTTTTGCAGACATGTTGCTTCTTTATTGTAGCGACGGAGAAATGGTTTCACATACAATTGTCAGCACAATCGTTTCGTGAATCAAAGTAACATCAGTTCAACACACAACATGTAATTCATGATAAACCACTTGCATGGAGTACATTTTTAACGGATATAAGACATGCTGTTGTTATTTATGTGAACCCTAACATGTTACATAATAAAATTTGTTTCATCCGCACAACTTGAATTTCTGCCGAATCGGACAATTCTAAACGATAAAATTAATTAGTGTGTTTGGATTATCAAATTATTTCAAATAATATTTTGTTTGTATTATAAATATATTTTTTAATTTATCTTTTTATAATCCCACATACTTTTTAATTATCTCACATATATCATATCATAAAAAGTGTTACAGTAATTTTTTCAAATAATACTCTATCCAAACACATTCAGCCCTCATTTTTGTACCCTTTCTTTTTTAGGTTTTGTGGATACAAAGTGTTTTTTTTTTTCCCATAAATAAATTGAACAACTATAGGGTAATATTAATATTCCCTCTTGAAAGAATGAATGATTGTAGTTTTGATAATCCAGACACAAAACTTAACCAGACAATATAAATATGTGACATGACAAAAAACAGTAGTGTCTACGTTGCTTCATTTGATGTAACCTATCCACTATAATCAATCGCATAGATGGACCCCTTTAACATTTATAACCAGTTTCTGTGTTGTTCCATTCAATTCCAAATTTGCACCCACCCAACTTGGTTAATTCATCCGACTTGATCCCTCAGTTTCATTTCTAGCAATTCAAGTGGCCGGAAAAACAAACCTCCATCCCTATGATCTCACTTGGGATCCTCGGTGACATGTTTTCTATGCCAACCCAATGCCACCTATAATATTATGCCAAGTGTCCTGTTATTATTTACACTTGTGTTAAACCAAATCAAGTTGAATTATTAGAAAATTAAAGTGTAAATAATAACAGGACACTTGGCACAATACTATAGGTGGCATTGAATTGGCATAGAAAAACATGTCACCGAGGATCCCAAGTGGATCTCGCAAAATTAAGCCTCCTGCACGTTGAGCAACTTTTGGGTTATGGAATTAATTAAGATAATAATCCTGTCCTGCTTATTCAAAGATGTATAGAAACTGCCATAAATTTCATGACTTTTTCAACATCTTTGTTAGGTGGTGTAGGGTAGTCAATGAATTGATGTATTATATTGTTGATAAAATGATTGTTATGAAAAGTTTTTCTCACAAGCCTAAATAATTAAGACAAACTAAGGGCATAAGAGTAATATGGCACTCAACAGCCTTGTATCAACTCTAGTTTAGACAGTGATGGTGGACAAAAGAAGTTCCCCGAAATTGTAGATATATATTTGATTTTTCTTTATTATTCTCCATTTTCCTTCCCTTTGATGCTTATTAATTAATTACTACAAGATAAATTAAAGTATTAATAGATGAAGTACTAATTAAAGCCAATGACCATTTTCAACAATAGTCTAGTTAAATAACCTGTTGCATAACAAAAGTTTAAGTTAAGTACAAAAATCTTTTTTTTAGGTAAACAATTTTCATTTGTGTATAACAAAATTCCATATATTTAAAGCATGTTGAATTTAAGTTTAAATTAGATCAATGTCAATAAATGCTATCCAAAAAAATAAACATACTATCTTATACTATTAAACTGAACTTTCAAAGCAATAATTAAACTTAAGGGACCTGCATTTGTAAGAATCAAACTTGTCACCTTTTTTGGATAAACTTCACAAGTTTCTTATCGCTGCGCCAATCAATAGTTGGAGTAATTGCCAAGAGCTAGCATATCTTGTTGTTTCACTTGATTCAAACTAATAGCACGAACGGGCTTTATATATTTTTCAGCATCGTCTTTTTCAATTTTTTAGGTGAACCATCTTAGGAGTTAGCTACTCCTACGTAATTCCAAACATCTTAGGGTTTTTTTTTTTTTCCAATCATGCTATTTTTCGTGCAAGTAGTGGATGTATCAGGAAAAAAGAAAATTAATAGAGGAGAATTTTAACAAGCAATTTAGTTGTATACACAATCTTGCCAAAAGTGGCAAATCATATCAATATTAAATACTCCTTCTGTTTCATCGAAAATATCATACTTTCCATTCTGAAATATCCTAACGTATTTATCATCTTACTAAAATCAAATTTACTTTTAATCTCTTTTTTCAATATTATCCCCCACCTTTAATTTATCTATATTTCGTGTTAAATTCAAATTTAAAATTCACATTTTGAGGATAATTTTAAAAATAAATCCACTAACATCACTGTTAATTCACTTTTTTTTAAGTTGGAATCTTGAAATGCACGGACAACATTTCGGAATGGAGAGAATACGGCTATGTATTTCTTAACTTTGAATTTGTAAATGTCACCCACTAGTTTCCTCCCCTTAATAAATGTTGGAATTTATTGCTGCTGAAACTTGAAAGCATCCCAACTACACAAACCTAAATTTGGGTGCTGACATTAACTATCCCTTATCCAACTCCCTTAGTAGCTTTCGCAATAAGTACTTCACATATTCTATCAAACACCTATCTCAAACATCTTTCGAATTCTGATCAGCTTCAACCAATCCCAAGTCCAAAATCCCACATCAGAGCTCAAAAATCCCATTATTATAATCATTATTGTTATGGCTGGAGAGCAACATCTGCTGTCAACTGAGATTGTTAACCGTGGCATCGAGTCATCAGGTCCAGATGCTGGATCTTTGACATTTTCCGTCAGGGTTCGAAGGAGGTTGCCTGATTTTGTTCAATCTGTGAATCTGAAATACGTGAAACTGGGGTATCATTACCTCATAAATCATGGGATTTACTTGGCTACTGTACCTTTGCTTGTGCTCGTGTTCAGTGCTGAATTGGGAAGTCTCAGCAGGGAAGAACTCTGGAGGAAGCTTTGGGATAGCACCACCGGATATGATCTTGCTACTGTGCTCGCCTCTCTTGGTGTACTTGTTTTCACGCTCTCTGTATTTTTCTTGTCAAAGCCTCGGCCAATCTATCTTCTTGACTTTGCGTGTTACAGGCCCCATGATGACCTCAAGGTACCACCATATCACTTTCCATGCATGATACTCTTTTTTCCTCTTTTTTTTTTAACTTCCTTCTCAATTTTCGAATCTCGTGACGTTAATTTCAACCCAACCTTTTTACTATTCTGGATTCATCCAGGCATGTTCATCCATCTCATATCATTTACAACTTTTAATCAAGTGTGAATGACTAGATGAGAAGAGAGAATTAATGGTGTGGACGAAAATGGAATTTTTTTGTTGCAAAATGATAAGTATGGGCTTTATGTGATTCTCATGAATGATAGATAGTCTTTTGATGTAGTCTGAATTGATGTTTTGTTTTTTAAGGAAAAGAAGTCTTAATTGATGTTAAAAAAAAAAAAAAAAGATATGTGTTTTGTGGTGCAGAAAAGTTTGTGCAAGTTTGATCAAAAACTTTTGTTCGGGTCACTGTCACCTGCCAATCGTGTCCGCGAGACCACAGGTCCCTAAGGGAAATGGATTCATCATATTAATGATCATTATATGTTTATTAGTTATAATAAAAGTTAACGGTGTAAAGATTTTTTGACACAGACAGAAGAGTTTGTTTAAATACATGACACTAATCTTTCTTCGGAGTTGATTTTTATTTTTTTTCCTATACAAATAAAGAAATCTTGATACTGGAAAATAATTAATGCGTAGTTAATAGAAAAAGAAATTATAACAAATAATTCTCTATTTGCGTGACAGGTAACAAAGGAGCAATTCATTGAAATGGCAAGAAAATCAGGCAAATTCAACGAGGCAAGTCTTGAATTCCAGAAAAGGATAGTAGAATCATCAGGAATCGGGGATGAGACCTACGTCCCAAAATCCATCATGTCCCCTGAGAATACAGCAACAATGAAAGAAGGTCGTGCAGAAGCATCAATGGTGATGTTTGGAGCACTAGACGAGCTTTTCGAAAAGACCAAAATTCGCCCCAAGGACGTAGGGATTCTTGTGGTAAATTGCAGCATTTTCAATCCAACTCCATCCCTCTCAGCAATGATCATAAATCACTACAAAATGAGAGGAAATATCCTGAGTTTTAACCTAGGGGGAATGGGGTGTAGCGCTGGAATTATATCATTGGATTTGGCTAGAGACATGTTACATTCAAATCCTAATAGCTATGCTGTTGTGGTTAGCACTGAAATGGTGGGATTCAATTGGTATCCCGGGAAAGAAAGATCTATGATGATTCCCAATTGCTTCTTCCGGATGGGATGCTCGGCCGTTTTGCTCTCCAACAGGCGCCGTGATTATGCTCGTGCAAAGTACAGACTCGAGCATATTGTAAGGACCCATAAGGGTGCTGATGATCGTAGCTTCAGGTTAGCTTTCTTGATCTCTTATTTTTTTTTCCTTAGAACTAGTAGAAAACCCCCCAAAAAAAAAAGGAATAATGTCTAGTTCGGTCATGTGGCATGAATCTAGCTAGATCTGCTTGCGTAAAAAATCATTTCAGTATTTGTGCAGGAATAATAATAATGTCTAAATCCAAGATCGATATTAGAGCTTATGTTTGCAATTGAAATTTCAAATAGTGTAAGCATGAAAGAATTATATTATAGAAACGTAATAGCAATATAATTGAAAACAAAAAAAAAAGTCAAATCAGGAGAGAGTTTCTCTTTTTTTTTTTTTTTTTTTTTTTTTTGTCAGCAACGATATATTTGTAGCAATCTATTCTATCCTAAGTCTAGGAGAGAGGAGGAGCCTAAGGAGGCCTATGTGGTAGAGAGCTATGGGCTATACAGACAACTAGATCAATGGTATTATGGACATAATCCTTAAATTTTTTTACTGTAAGTGAGATTTCATACCTCACCTACAGTCAATGAGGGACCTAAGCCCCTTCTTCTTGGCGTGGGCCACCGAGCCAATTGCCCAAGCGGTTCGGGAGAGAGTTTCTCCTTGGGTTGCCATGCTCATTAATTTACTCTTTGAGATGTTGGGACTCATGAGTGGTCAATCTATTTTTGCACACTAATAATGGAAGTGCATGGTCCATAGAGCTAGCTGATTGATGTGCATTTAAAGGTGACCTAAGAACTTGGATAATTTGTTGAAGGATGACTGGGGGGTGGTTGCCTACTCATTCATTTCAACTTAATTGCCAACCGCCCATTTGAAGAAATTGTGTAAAGGTGGGTCCAAATTGATCTGCATCTTCTCGGGAGTCTTTTCTTGAGATTAGGACAATGGTTCAAATTAAAGCACCATAACACTGAAATTACCTTGTTAATTCCTATCATTTAGGATCATGGGTCCATATATTGTTTCCAGTCCCTCTCATATATTCAATTCTTTCATGTATGGGATTACTCTAACAAACAAAATACAGGATTAATCTTTCTTACGTTAATAATGTACAGTACGAGGTAGATGAATGACAATTATATAAAATTTGAATTTTAAATAGAATTTTTACACATATATTATGAATTCAACGGTAATAGTGTCAGTGTATATAAGATTTATTCTAAAATATAACCATAAGTTTAGTAGTATTGAAAAAGAAAGAGAGAGAGAGAAAGAGAGGGAGAAAAAAAAAAAAGAACTACAATACAAAGCAGAAGTTTCGTGATAGGGTCACAGCCAAAGAACTGCGTGACAGTTTCTTCCACTATAAAAGCAAAATCATTACATGGTTAGTGGTGATAGATATAATGACAATCCAATCTTAAACATTATTATGCTAACACGTTGCCCCTTTGCTGGGATATAGAAAGTAGCTCAAGCCTACCAATTATTCGTTTCCTTTTTCTGATCTTGTTTGAATTGTAGTTTTTTTTAAAAAAAATTAACGTTCTTTATAAGTTTATTTTTTAATCAATTTTTATTTTATATACATTCAATCATTACAGTACATATTTTTTATACAAATTAAAAAAAAATAATCCAAACTAGTGAATTAGTATATGAAGTCAGTGAACAAGTATATTACCAAAGTTGTACACCATCACTAACGAATGGATGGATGTACGCAATTATTACAGAAGATCAGTTTTTCAATCAAAGTAATTAAGCTGTGTGTTTAATTAGGCGGAGTCTTAAACTAAAAGATCAAAAAAAGAAAAAGAAAAAGTGGAGTTGTGGACGAAAAGTGAGCTGTGGCCCACACATTATCATCATTCCACGGCATTTCTGCTCGAAACCACAATTATCTCATGCTGGCTGGTCTATGATAGTGGATTTTTCTGTTGTAGACCCGTGCCATGGGGGACCATTAGACAGACAGGGTGGACCACACGTATTGGGACCTTACATAGGATTTGACCAAAAGATTTGTTGTTGATCGGAATAAACATACAAGTTTTACACGTGAGATTCATATGTGGGATCCTCTCTCTCTCTCTCTCTCTCACATATATATAGATGTATGTATATATATACACCACCTCCTGACAGACAGTATTTCACCCGCATGTGGAGGCTCCTGTCACGCTCTTTTCACCCGCACTGTTAGACAGACAGTATTTGAATCCTAGATTTGACATAATTTTTAAATATTCTTTTTTGATATATAACAAAATAGTAATAATATTAATAATAGCAGCAGGATGCAATTGTCAATTTTATGGTTTGTCATTGCACATGGTCAATAACAGACCATCCCTATGATAGATCAAGGCTACACTCCTGTAGTATGAGCATGGTTTTAATACCCAGCTCGGACCGTTCCGTCAAATCGGTTGAATCGTCAATCAGGTGGCTGTCTAAGCCGGGTTATGCTTCAAATCCAGTGTAGCTAAAAAACCGCTTTATTTAGTGAAATCAATTGACTCGGCCGGTCCAACCAGTGAATTGTCAAATTGGAATGGTTTTTCTAAATCAATTTGGTTCATTCAATTGATCAAAATTTTTTTTTAAAAAAAACTAGAAACTAATTAGATAGCCGCAACCTATAGTCAACTCAAGTCAAGACCTAAGACTCCAATCTTCTTCCTTACTTTATTTCTAATTTTTAGCTAATTTTCTTCAATTTCTTCTTTTCGTAATCATCCCTCTCTTCATCATCCCATCATTGATCTCTCAAATTCCTTCAGTAAAGTTCAATTTTGTGCCTAAACTATATGCGTAGGTTTGATTTCCTAATCTATGATTTTTTTTATTTTACTTTGAATTTACTAATTTTCTAAAGTAAGATTCTTATTTTCTTGGTGTCAAGCTTGTCATATTGGTATAATTATAGCTCTTTTTTCTTTGCTTTGCTTTTCTTTTGCTTTGTATCTTTGCTTTTCTTTTAGTTTATTTTATTATAAACTTATTAGCAAAAGAACTATAGTTATGATTATGTGTCTAAACCTTTATAGTGGGATGTGCAAATTGTAAATATGATAAAATTAGCAATATATAATTTATTTATTTATGACATCATGGGTCGAAAACGGTCAGTCCAATGGTTGAACTAATGACCCTTGACCCAGTGACTTTTCTAGTTCAATGAATGGTTCAAGTTTTAAAACCTTGAGTATGAGATTAATGGTGAAAAATTGAAAATTAGAAAATGCAAAAAAAAAGGAGGGAGAGAGAGAGAGAGAGAGAGAGAGAGAGAGAGAGATGGTTTTAATTTGATTAAACTCGTGCAAATAGAAATGGATATGCTCTTGGTAAGGAGACGAGCTAGTGAAATTTCTTGGAACACTAAAATGGTTTTTAGTTTACTACGACAAAAGAAATTTACACCGTAATTTTCTGCAGGAGTGTTTATCAAGAGGAAGACGATCAAAGGTTCAAGGGACTAAAAATCAGCAAAAATTTGGTAGAAATAGGGGGCGATGCACTCAAGACTAACATCACCACACTTGGTCCTCTGGTCCTACCCTTCTCTGAGCAGCTTTACTTCTTTGCAACACTAATTTGGAGGCATTTGTTTGGTTCCGGCGGAGGGTCACAGCCCAAAAAACCATACATCCCTGATTACAAACTTGCATTTGAGCATTTCTGCGTGCATGCTGCAAGCAAGACTGTTCTTGATGAGCTGCAAAGGAATCTGGAACTTAGTGAGAAGAACATGGAAACCTCAAGGGCTACACTGCATCGATTCGGCAACACTTCCAGCAGCAGCATTTGGTATGAGCTGGCTTATTTGGAAGCCAAAGAAAGGATCAAGAGAGGTGACCGGGTGTGGCAGATTTCATTTGGTTCTGGTTTCAAATGCAACAGTGCAGTCTGGCGATCGTTGCGCCGAGTAGGGTCACCTTCTAGAAATCCATGGCTTGATTGCATTGATAGGTATCCTCCAGAGGCTCTCTAATCCTGGGGAAGCTGAAGCTGAGGGGGATGGTGCAGCACTGTCAAAGCTTACTAATGGCATTAATGCTGCATTTGCTTCAACATTTCCAGCATGACTAAATCACAAAAAATCCTATGTTTGTCTTTCTAAGTTTGTTGACTCTAAAAATGATTTGGAGTCGTATATCCTATGTCAATTGTTGTCTAAGATTCATACAAGGTAACGTTTTTGTTTCAAGCACATCAGGTCAAAGTCATGACAATATCCCTGAAGTTGCTGGTTAAGATGTGGTAATGAATATAAATTGTACTCTCTCTGTCCCAATTATTTGTTTATATTTTAAGAATTCAACTTTTTAACAATAGTGATTTGATTGTGATGTTTGTGTTTTTTTTTTTTTTTTTCAATTTTACTTTCCACAAATTCAAAATTTGAATTTAAATGGTAACATACATATGATATAATTAAAAAAAGGAACTGTATTCAAAGGATAGACTAAAAAAGTGTTTTGACTTTCTCAATATAACAAATATTTTGAAATATCTCAAAGTATAAAATACGACACTTTCAATGATTGCAAGTGCTAAATTAAATTCAAGTTGGGATGTGAGCGAGGCAAATATCATCACACTCTCAAGCTCAACTTCTAATATGTAGTACTTTGTAATGGCACTTATAAATTATCTGCTCTGTAGAATTCCAATATTAATATATTAATATGCGTGCTTGCATCTAATTAAGTTGTTCCTAATTAGATGTATTTTGGAAGAAAATGTTTGTCAGTATAATGGAGTGAAAAGATTTAACACCAAAGAAATTGTGTATTTCTTTTCATGCCATTCTTAGTTTCACTTAACTATAATCGAAGTAGAACTTGCTCTGTTTTCGTTTTATTTTTAATTGCAATAGTAGCTTAAAGCCCACAGACTGACATATATCTACTTACAAGTTTTGTAATTTGAACTCAAAATTTTCACTTATCAAAACATTCTATGTTATATTTGAAATGCGATCCCTAAAATTTCAGTTTTTGTATCTAGCATATAATTTGACACAATCAATCTTCCAAAGTGGAGCTCATCGATCACATAAAACAACGGAGTTGGGGATAAATTAGTAAAGGAAATGCAACATTTATAAATTGAATCAATGGTAAACTTCTTAACAATACTTTCTTCCAAATTGGAAGAATGATTCTGATTAATTAGGAACAGGATGATTTACACACTGACATACAAATTTTCCCGCATAAAATATATTTTGAGTTTCAAAACATCCCAAATCCTATAATTAACGGGAAATATTATTTATACTCTCAATTTTTTATTAATTGCAGTCCCACCATTTATCATATTATATAGTTTAATAAATAAAAAGCATACGATAAAAATAAAAAATGAGTCTGCAATTTACAAAAATGAGAGTGCAAATAATATTTTTCTAATTTAATCATATAAAGTGATGTCTTAGTCTTTCTCCAACAATGGAATTAGGCTTAAACATCACAAATTAAGAGCCATAAATGTATAAAATTTTTAATTATCCTTGCATGGACTAAAACAGTAAGCACAATACGATTCACCCATTCATCATCCTTTTCCATGAACCGTCAACTGCCCATGCATAATTGCCTACCTAAGAATTTTTTTCAAGGAACATCTAACCCTCCAATTAAGGTTGTTTTGTACTCAACAAACATTGTTGCATGCAAATTGCACCTCATAATGTACATCTCAACGTTGATTTCTGAGCTGAAAATTTTCCTATAACTGCTGACAAAAATAATTGAACTACACCTTCACAAAAATCCTCCCAAAATCACATTCAAACCCTCACAAATTCCTCCAAGATAATCACACTTTTATTCTCCTAACTATCCTGTCCCAATTCAGCTCTGCCCGGAAAATTACCGAAGTGTCGAATTTGGATAAAAAAAACAACAGCAGCTAGCTGCTGTTGATGCAATTTCATTAAGCATTCAACAAGTTCAAGGAGCCCGAAGATTGCTGCTGTTGCTGTAATTTCATTAAGCATTCAACAAGTTCAAGGAGCCCGAAAATTCGTCGCAACTATTCCCCATCTTAAAACTGTGTTCGCAAGTACTCCATCTGCAGGTCATCGATTTGAATGCGTTGATGATCTGATGGTGAAGTTGAATGAAATCGAAGAAGCCCTTCTGAAATTGTGACTTCTGAATGAACCAGGGCCGGTGGTGGATGCACATTTATTCCTCATGGCACAAAACCTTGCGTGCCCTGATTTCCAGCTCCCTATGCCATAAAGCAGTTGGTGAATTTGATGGAGTCATGGAAACTATAGTTACAGAAAATCTTGAAAACTTGGCATCTGTTGTTGAAGATGTTGTCAATCGTATTTCCGACCCAGAAATTGGCAAGCCTCCAGCAGCTTCAAAAGCAGGAAAACACCATCGGTAATTTTATCGATAAACTATACTAGTCAATTTTTCTTGGAGAGTTTGATGGGTGTAATCTGAAATTAAATCGACCTGATAATCTTGAATAAAATCGTTATGTTTATATATGTGTAATGAGATTAGAGTTTCATTCCAGTTAATTTATATGATTCTTTATCTTTTTGACTTGCAAATATTAAAATTAGTTTCTATGATTGTTGAGGCATTGTAAGTATTAAATGAGCATTTCATATCTATTAGTAGTTAATTTCTATGATTGTTTATGCATTTCAAGTTAATTGCTATGAATGTAAGAGAAGACACGAGGACATGAAATTAAAAAGTCTTAATCCATGCAATATTATCTGGATCTAAATTTTTGATGTGTTTTATGTTTATTTCCCCCTTTCGTTTGACTGTTGTCTTTCCCACAGTACAAAAGTACAAATCATATGGATTTTTTTTTTTATGAGGAGGAAATGGGGGGATTGGGGGAGGCCTTTTTGGTAACAGTTGTAGAACAGTTGGTTCTGATTCCTTGAAAAGGTAAATCAAAATCACACTTTATAGGAAGGTTCCTGGTAACAATTGTGAAATCGCTGATTCCGATTCAAGTTGTGGCTTTAGTTCATTGCGATTATGATTTCGGTTCCGATTCCCATTTCTTATATGACAATAGATTTAAAATAAAGAAAAGGTGAAGAAACAAAAAATATAGAAGAAAAATAAGTTTTTGATTTTATTATTATTGAATAAGAAAAAAAAAGGGATACAAATTCTATGAAAAGTACTTCACCCTATTGAATGTTAATAACCATTTTAAATAAAAGAAAAGATAAACTATTTTAGAGAAATTGAGAGTATTTTCAAGTTGGATAACTTAGACTTCTTTTATTTTCTTTTTTTTTTTTTTAAATGTAGGTGTGACGTCTCGAACTCACACTCCCTCCCTCGTATCACCTAAGTCATTTCTCCTGCCCCAAGCACCTTAAACTTGGATCAAGTTTATCATTTTTTTTTCCTTTTTTTTTAGATGATTCTAGACTACAATTCCAATTCCATTTTTAGAGAATCAGAACCAAAACCTTACTTAGTATTCTCTCTCCAGTTCCAGTTCCGGTATAGTTCATGTAAGGTCTGGTCCAGTGCGATTTCTGGCTCAAAATGAACCGTGGCCATGTCTACATATATGTATGTAACGCACTCAAACTCTTCAATCCCAGCTCAAAATGAATTATGACAGTTCCCCCATGTCACTCTTTTGGTTTGAAAATCTGAAAAAGTCCTGTGCATCAATTTTCATCAAACCAGTTTTTCGCTATAAGAAGCTCTAGTTAGTTACTAATTAATTTTTTTTTGGAAACTAAAACAATGCACACGATTGGACCAACATTTTCCCAAATAGTGTTACAATTTAGTTGGCAATTGGTGTAACAACATATAGCGTATGACAGGGAAGAAATTTTAGATGGTTCTGGTGCAAATCCATGCTGCTAAACTTTAGTTACTTGCATTGTTGAAGTGATTCAGATGGCAATGGCTAGCTGAAGAGAAATATCAAGAACTCAAGCTTATTGAGAATTTGCTACACAGATTGGAAGTTTTAACTCTGTTATTTTTGCTGCTGAATAATTGTTTTCTTTTCTTTTTTATTGGTGTAATGGTAGTCATAGGAAGTTGGATATAATACTTGTGCAGTTTTGTAGCTACTTGTGTACATTCTTGGCTCTATCAATGGAAGTTGTATTATAACTTGAAAAAACAAAAAGAAAAAGAAAAAAAGTATGTCCATGGAGTAAAAGTTCTAGTGTGCTTCTTTTTCCCTTGTCTCCCAAAAATCCTGAAGCTGAAGGGCTTAGCAATTCCTTTTGCTTTTGCATGTTTCAGCATATTAGGGTATCAGCCAATTAATGTGCTTGCTCAATTTTTTTTTTCATTTTCTTTTTTTCTTTATTTCATTTTCTGTTATTTGTTTGGATACAATGTTACATATGATGGCTTTAGCATTATATACAAATAAGAAGAATATACAAATTTGCAACCCTAAGCTGATGACTAGTACATTTTTGCCAAAAGATGAAATTCAATTAAATTGAAATTTTAATTTGATAAGGTTATACTTCTTGTTGCAATGAGTTGTACCTCAGGCTGTATTTGGTTCATTGAGAAAATTGGAATTGCTAGATGTAAATGGATTTGCTGCATTCCATACATAGGATTTAAGCAAATTTTCCATAGATTACAACCGCAATTCCAAGCGAATTCCAATCTTTTCAAGCTACCAAATGATTCATCATTGACACAAATAATTCAACATCCTAGTTATTACAAAAGAAAAGGCGGTCAAGGCAGCCAAAACATTTCTGCAAAATGTCCAACAATTTGGTATATTCAAATATTTTAATAGGTAAATATGGTAGGAAGGTAAATAAACTAAATATTGATTCTTCCTTCTCTGTTTTATTATTTTTCATGGCTTGTCCATATCACATTCTCTGGCAAGCCTTATTAATGAGGAAATACAAAATCAAAAAAAAAATGAAGAAGAATATATTTCCAGTGGCATCTTTTCCTTCTTCCTCCTTTCCTTATTCTAATCTTTTCTTGATTTTGGTGGGCAGGGGGGCTTTTCTGGCTGCTGGGGCATAAAAGAATAGCCAAAGATTTGATTATAACAAAAACCAATCAATCTTTTTCAGGATAACCACTCCCCATCCATTCCTTCAATTTCCTCAATCTCCATGCTGCAAGTACAGAGAATGAAAATCAAAACAGAGGGGGAAAAAGGAAAGGAAAAAAGAAAAAGAAAGGGAAAAAGAATAAGAAAGAGTGAATTAATAACTCATTAACTCTCTGCACTGAAAACAGAAGCAGCAAGTGATAAGCATGAGAGATCATTTGGGACTAAGCAGAGCAAGACCTTGAGTCTAAGAACTTTTGACCAAAAAGTTCACAATTTCATTCTTCTCCATCCAAATCAACTAAATTTTAATTGTAGACTGATCATATGTGATCACCTGCCAATATAAGAAGAATAATTGATAATTTATGGGGCTTCTTCTGTAGAATTAAGTGTGTATTGGGAACAGCAGACAATCTAAGAAGGCTCGCATTTTCCCATTTCCCCAGAACCCAAAGTCAATTTGATCTTTATGCTTTAATCATAGTACATGCACAAAAGTGATTCTGCCTTCAGATTGGGTCAAAGCAAAGAAAGCACAAGATGAACTCGTTGCATTGCGTAAAAGAGAATAGACAATCCTATATTGCAAAACAACAAGAATCTTACAAGTCAGTAAGGCCATAGGCAAGAAATAAAAAAAAAAAAGATAAAATTGTTCATTTACATTAGTCAGAAAATAGTTGAAAAAAAAAATCAGAGAAACAAATTCTTACCATGGCAAGGCAGGATCTTGCATGTAGTCATCAAAGCAATAATCATTTAGATGTTGCTCCAAGCAACTCTCATTTGCATTCAACCATGAAGGGAATTCCATGACTTCATCAAATGGAAAATTCCCATACTCCTCGGCCTTTTCCTCAGGATCAATTTCCATAGTCTTCAAAAATTTGAACCACCATGCTGATGTGACCAAATTCAAGGTATCATTCCACTCCATCTGATGCTGCTCACCTATTGATCTGATCTCTGCCATCTCCTGGTCATCCATTGCATGGTGCAAATCTGTGTCTCCAAAATTCATCATGCTTGACTCAGCATTAGTAGCCACCATAGGAAGCCCCTCTTGTGGTATTGCCACACTAGGGACTTCCTCAGTGGCAACAGAAAGAGGGGGTGAAGAAGAAGTAGATGAAGATGAGGTTGAGGAGTAAATTGATGGGATGTTGGTACTTTGGTAAAAACTTCTGTCTAAGTCATTGAAATCCTGAAGATTGAGATTCAGGCCTAATGGTTGATTAGGGAGTACAAAATTGAAATTTTCAGGGAATAGGGGTGGAGCAACTGGAGGCAAAGGCCAATAGTAAGGATGATTATTTGGAGGACAAGCAAAGGCTGAGCAAGGAAGATTGTCTACATAGCCAGTGAAGTTGTTGGTCATCTGGGATTCGTAAATTCTCGGATTTCTCCTAGATTTTGATTTCCCTTCTTGTTCTTGTTGCAGAGGCTGCAGCTGTGGTTGCAATTCACTTTCCTGCTGCAGCTGCTGCTGATGTTGTTGTTGCTGTTGCTGTTGCTGTTGTTGTTCATTAGCTTGCTTCATAGCTGCTCTATGAAACTTGAGTGCTGTGACAATCTCCCTTCTAGCCTCAGCCATATTCAGAAGCCTCTCTTGGTACGGCCTACTGGCGTGGAGTCTCCTTCTGACCTGTTTTTTGTGTTGTTGAGGCTGTTGGGATGGCTGAGATTGTGGCTGTTTTTCACCGAAGCCATCAACATCTTTACTTAAATTTGTGTTGCCAGGGATTCCATCTCCATCTTCTGGACTGTCCTGGTCCTTGGAGTTGAGTGGATCTTTGGTTCTAGTAGAGGTTAGCTGTTTAACCAGGCTACGAATGTATGCACCAGAGAGATGGGGTTCTTCTTTTAGTTTATCAAGTTTGTCAATTTCCATTCCTCCTTTACTTCCTTGTTTGGAAGAAGATCTTCCCCTCATCTCTCTTTCCCTCTTTGTTTATGTTTTTTCTATTTTTTTTTTGCTGGTTTTCTTGAAGGTGTATTTGTACTCAGATGAAAATGAAGTGGTGGAGTCTTGAAAGAAGGGCGGTTGTCTGAAACATCATGTTTTTCACTTTTCTGGAAAGGCAAAGTACAGAATGCAGAGGCAGAGGTCTCATGGGTGTTATAAATAGCTGACGACAGTCTCTAGGGTTTTTAAATTCTTTTGGAATTTTCCCTCTTTTGGCAAACCACCAGGATGTTCCATATTTTTTTATTCCTAGCCTTAAATTGGCAGTTAGAAAAAAGCTTTTGTAACTGATGCACCCTTGACTTGCCATCAAATTTACAAGCATGGTCTTTTTTTTTTTTTTTTTTTTTTGCATTTTAATCTCATCACAAAAGTCTCCAAAACACACACATAGGGTCTGGCTGACCTCAATCCACTTGATAGATTAGTGCAACTAACTCATCCTGCTTCAAAGACTCATCCATCCATCAGAGGATGAAAAAGTTTAGCTTACACCATCAAACTAATAACACCTAATGGTCAAATTCCCTGTTAAGGCAATTTTGTCAAGAATCCAAAGTTCCGCTAACAATCAAGGTAAAACTCCAGGCAGAACCATCAACTGGTAACTATCATCCAACAGCCAGAGATCCCACAAATGAACCAGATGACTAATGATCCTTTAGGATACTAATGTACTCTTCTCCTATGATTGCTTACACAACTATGGTCTCACATATCAATATTTTCCCTTTGCTAGATTGCAACCAAAGAAAGCTCAGTGTGAAATAGCTTTATTCAAATCTCTTTTTCGCACTTCCAATTAAAGATCTATTTTATTTTTAAGGGATCACAACTATGGTAGAACTAACAAATGATCAAACTCCGGCCAACACTCAAGAACTGGGAACTTATTTTTAGATTCCACTATGCCTTTGTTGTTAAAAATGGGGGAAAAAAGGATTGTCTTCTTCGTTAAGTCAGACATTTAATAAAAATGGTTGAAACACATGCATACAAAACAAATTTTGTGATAACTTGGGAAACTTCACATGGAATCCATTTCAAGTCAGCAAACTCAGCTCAATTTTATGAATAGCCCTTCTCAAAGGTTGGAGAAATGGCATCTAGTGTGACTCTCTGTCACAAAACCATGAATTTAGCTTTGAATTCACACAGCAGGTCAAACATCTATCAGATAATGTAAGATCATTTCTTTAAGAAGAATATCAACGAACACACATTTTTAAGTGAACAAATTAACATCCTAATGATTGAATGTGTGATCTCGGACACAGATTATCTAAAGGGTTTTCTTCTATTTGTTTGCAAGCTTATACACTGGGACCAGATTCTGAGGACGTCATCAAAGAAGCCATAGAAACTGACATGAGAATCTTCATTACTGTTGTAACCTTCAATTCTTGCTTAAATAAATATATGTGTGACCACACTAGTATAAAAAAAGCCATAAAATCAATATTTTCCGTTCCATTTGCTGAAAATTATTAGTCTGATGATGAAACAGAGAACTTGAACCTTTTTGCAAAGCCACTATACGGCCTATTAAGGACAGAAATGCTCCATACCATCCCCTCTTTCATATCAGTTTCTGTTCCATTTCTTGCTGTGGCTTCTCCAGACACTCATTACATGATTTCTAAGCACTATTAGGATGTTGCAGTGGCATTGCTTCTGAAACCCTCCAGCAGAATGCTATGTCAGTGGCAAATTTGGTAAAATTTCCTCATGTAAAAGACAACCTGTAGGGTACTACTAATTAAAAGTTACCTGTTTTATGTCAAAGTAAATCATATCCATTCTCCAAGAGAATAATACTATTCAAAATTGCAAGCTGACATTCACAAGTACTACTTGTTGTGTACTTGGGGAGCAATGAAGTAATTGATCTCAGAAAAATTATTAACTCTGACCACAACCCAATCTATAGATAATACTCCCCCAACTGCTGGTAGGCAACATTTGCTCTGAGAGCAGAAATTATTGTTGATGAGACATGAAATAAAGGGAATGCTCCCACTACCAAGCAGGCAGTGCAGATTTACTTTTCTTCAGAAGCATACCATTGCTCAAAGCTGCGGTTATTGCTGGCACAAGCCTCTCTCACATGACAACATCCAATCAGCAGTTTTTAACGGAGTGCAGAAGCAACAAAATGTTTGTTAATATGATAATGCTTTGTGAGCTCTAAATCAATTGTTTATCTTAAAGATAACAGCAGAACAGTACATGTATTATTGGGCAGGTCAGAATACTTCAGCAATTTTAGTTGATTACACATCCATTAGGCTGGACTTTTTGGATGATATCTGCCAAAAAAGACTACTCATTTAACAACTACCCTTTTACTTAGTCTCTAATCTGAAATCTGAGGAGCAACTAGCAGTCAAACTCCACAATCTTCGGCAGAAAAACTTTGAAGTTTCATCTTGCTCTAATTCATTTCTATGAACTTATTTTGGTCTACAATTTTTCTAGCAGTCTCATACTGGAACTCCATACCATTACTTATCAGCTGTTTGATTCACAAGTAGGTTAGAACACATCAGAAATTGTAGTTGACTACACATCTATTTAGGCTGAATTTTTTGGATGATATCTGCCAAAAAAGACTACTGAATTCTTACAATTAATTCCTGTTATCTCGTATTCAGAGTTGGTCGTCTGGTGGTAATATTTTTAGTATGACATATGTTGTAGGCCATATACTTGAAAGGAAATTTGAGTTTCCAGATCACAACTGATGAAAGTTTAAGTTTAAACAAAGCAGATCATTACCTAATTGCCATTTTTTTTTTTAATTTTGATTGTACATATTAATTTCCTAGTTCCAAATTCTTGGAGTTTTGAGCCTGTGATATTGAAGCACTATAAGCCCTTAACTCTGTGTACCGGTAACTAGGATCCAGTCTTTACTTGCTATGTTTTCCATTCAAAGAAGACCTAAAATCTTACGCAGAAGAAAGGAGAAGGAAAGGATTTGAGAGTTGAAGCAAGGACCTCATGATTACCTCTCCTTACTATGTCATCACGAGCACTTAGTATGACAGAGAGATTAAATTATTGGCGAAGCATCCTAGTACCTGATTAATTTTTCACTTAGTTAAGAATAAAAATTTCAAGTTTCACCCTGACATAGGCTACAAATTAAGTTAAAGAATTAAAAGAGGATTGAAGCAGTTACAGTTGAGATTTGATACAATCGTGCGACAAGTTGATATGTATTTACACAGGTGGATGTATGTATATATTAAGTTGATATACATGAACAAAATTCACATACACAATAAAGTAATATCAATGTACACCAAGTTGTGTGAACTATACAATAACCAAATAATTATACGAAATCTCAACTGTACGTACCTGCACCAAACCCAACTAAGAGTACCTCAACTAAATATTCTCTTGGAAGTCAAAGTCCCTATTCAAACCGCATTTCATGTTTTGGCATCATCAAAATTCCAATACCTAATCTTCGTTTTTTTTTTTTTATTTTAGATTTCCTTGCAGAAGAATTTATATGATTAGAGACACTTCATATGGTTTGCTTTATATGTTGTTGAATCCACAGCTATCCTTTTGCTTTGGAAGTGAGAAACACTGATAGAGCTTAGGTAATTTTCCAATGTTGTTCTCTCAAACCTTGTCCATGACTTGTTCCATATCAAAATTAAATTTCAAGTTACAAACCTTTTACTAGACAGTGGTACTACAACTATTTTACCATTTAACAAACCTTGCGTTTCAAGATTTTTTACTAAAAATACCAAGATGGCATTTTCTACAACGACAAGGAAGTTTCAGTTTGTCGAACTTCTTGTTTAACATCCTAACCCTGCTAGAGCTTATATCTCAAACCCTCCTTCCTCTCCCCCACCCAAAAAAAAAAAAAAAAAGGCAAATCAATCTGAAGTTGTGTTTTGTCAAATAAAGTGCAAAACATGTAAATTTTTTGTTATAAATAGAAAAAAAAATAAAAAGATAAAAAAATCGTTAGCACGAGATTCACAAATTAGAATATGGAACTTTTTTTAACCTGATTGCTAAGTAATGCTGTCATAAAGTATATAGGACTAATTTTAGTTTATACCCTTACCTTGTGTTTGTCATATGGACCTAAGTAACAACTGATTGTATAAAACTAAAGAGAATATGTACCAAAATTAAGTAATTAATTGATAAACCCCAACATCTCCAAAGATGTAGTAGTATATATTTTTTTTTTATATTTCTAAACTGCTTATTCTAAATTTTGCAAAGCAAATCAAAAGTCCCAATAAATCATCAAAGGTTAATTAACTATTTTTAACTAGTTTATTAATAATATTGACTTCTGTTTTCGAAAAGACAAAGAAGAAGATACCATACCATAAAAATGAATTAAACAAATAGAGAAGAAGCACAAGAAAACAGTCAATTTTGGAGAGGAAAAAACAAAAAAAAAATAAAGGAAAAATAGGGTTTGTTGCCGGGGGAGAGAGAGAAAGAGAGGATAAACTAGAGAACATTAAAATAGGACAAGAAAAAAAAGCAAGAATTATAAAATATTATGGTATGCAATGAAAGAGAGGAAGGCAAACGAAAGTGGGAAAGAGGCCTGACTTCTGCTGGCTGCTGCTGCTGCTGCTGTGTTGTTAATTGTGGATAACATCAAAGACAGATGCAGCATTGGCTTCTCTATCAGATGAGGTTATAGAAAACCTGATTCCACCAATCCCCTTCATTTCGCAGGTGCCCAGCAGATGGTTTTGACGAATGGCTTTCCTACAGCGAAAAACACTCAAGAAAGGACCATAGACCACAAGGTCCAGAACCCATTACTACACATTATTATCACCAGAGGAAACCTAATTCAAAAGCTCTTTCTCTTTCTCTTTGGATACCATTCACATTTCTGATTCCACCCCTCCACCGTTTGTGTGAGAAATGAATGACATATGAATGCCTCTGTCTTTCCATCTCTCTCGCTGACTAGTCTCTTCCCTTTATCTTCTTATGTGATGAGATGAGATGAGATGATTATCAACTTGCACTTGCAAGATGTGGAAGGGATGCAATACAACTACACAAAAACTCTGCTAGTAGAAACTAGAAAGCTCAGCATTCATTGATTCCATATAACTGATCTCTCTGATTCACTGTAGCTTGACAGGTCTGA